AGATAGATAGATAGATAGATAGATAGATAGATAGATAGATAGATAGACAGACAGACAGACAGACAGACAGACAGACAGACAGACAGAAGGAGCCTGCAGTCCTGGGGTCACTGTGGCTCAGGATAGTATTTGAGGGGCTGCCACAAAGAAAGAAGCAGGGTCAACTTATTCTCCAAAGCACCAGAAGGCAGGACAAGAAACAAACGGATGGAAACTAATCTAGGAGAGAAGCAACCTGAATTAAGGAGAAACGTCGTAACTGGGAGGACAATCAACCAGTGGAATAGTTCGCCATAAGAAGTTGTGGATCACTGGAGGTTTTTAAGAAGAGACTGGGCGGCCTTTTGTCTGAAATAGTACGGGATCATCTCCTGCTTGAGCAGGGGGCCGGACTAGAAGACCTCCAGGGTCCCTTCCAGCTTTATTCTGATTCTGTTTTTGATTTGTGGTTTTTAGCGCTTGCATTTGGCGCTGCCTCTGTGCACCCGGCTGGCGTAGTGCAACCCACCCTGTCTTTGGAGGGGGGGAGTGCAGGGGGGGGGAGAGAAAAGGAGGCAGAGGAAAGAGGCAAAAAAAGTGGGAGGGTCAGAAGGATCTTACTTCCCTCTCTCTCTCTCTCTCTCTCTCTCTCATTTATATGATTTGTCAGTCGCTTACAAGATAACAGGTATAAGTATAAACACGGTTATATTATATGGAGTATTGCAGGCATTGACCGCTCTGTTGCTGAAGTCGCATTTCCTGCAATCCAGTTTGGTGCGGTTAACCTTCAGCTTATATCTATTGTGTGCTCTTGTGTTGTTGTGGTCGAGGCTGAAGTAGTCATTGACAGGTAGGACATTGCAATGCATGATTTTATATACTATATTTAGATCAGACCGGCGGCGTAGTTCTAGGTTGGTCTAGGTCTAGCTCTCTCTCTTTCTCTCTCTCTTCCTCGTCCCGTGAGAAAGCGTGCCATCTGGAGGAGGAAACTTTTCCCAAAAGTTTTCTTTTTCTCCTCCCAAAAGTTCTTTCCAAAAGCGGCGAGCTTTTTCTTTTTCTTTTTTTTTTCCGCTTTCTTCTTTTTTTTTAACGTTGCGAAAATAAAATAAAAAAAATAAAAAAAACCGACTCTGGTGGGACTCGAACCCACAACCTTTGAATGACTCCGTCCCGTCATTGATCTAGAAGTCCAATGCGCTATCCATTGCGCCACAGAGCCCCACGCGATCTCGCAGCGCAGCCTGGCCGCCCTCTGCTCCGGCCCATAAGCCCCGGCGGAGCTGCTTCCTTCCCATTCTTCCCCCCCCCCATCCACTCCATTACTTTGCATTGGCCTCGCCGGAGTTTGGGGGGTTGGAGGGGGGGGGCGTCCGTGGGAAGCGATGGGGTCCGCGGGACCAGCGCCAGCCGCGTCCCCCTTCCCTTTTGCAGAAGGAGGGTCTCTCTCTCTGTTTCTCCCCCCCCCCCCCGCGTTGGTTTTGGCTTGCAACTTGGGGCGCTGTGTGCATGGTGCGTTGCACGGGTGCAAACGCCTGGGCGGGGGTCTTTGGGGAGGGGGTTTCTCCCCCCTCCTCCTGCGTGCAAGTCTGCATCGCCCCGCCAAGTCCGGAACAATTTGCAGAGAGAGAGAGAGAGAGAGAGAGAGAGAGAGAGAAGAAACCGAGAGATCATCCATCCCACCCCCACCCACCTGGGTAGGGGTCTTTGGGGAGGGGGTTTCTTCCCCCTCCTCCTGCGTGCAATTCTGCATCGCCCCGCCAAGTCCGGAACAATTTGCAGAGAGAGAGAGAGAGAGAGAGGAGAGAGAGAATAAACCGAGAGATCATCCATCCCACCCCCACCCACCTGGGCAGGGTCTTTGGGGAGGGGGTTTCTCCCCCCCCCCCCTGCGTGCAAGTCTGCATCGCCCCGCCAAGTCCGGAACAATTTGTACAGAGATAAAGAGAGAGAGAAGAAACGGAGCAATCAGACCCCCCCCCCTTAACGCCCCCAACCCCTTTACGCCAGGATCCCGTGGCCGGGAACGCGGGAGGAACTACAACTCCCGCCGTGCCTTGCGGGAGAAGGTGAGGGCCGAGGGCGCCCCCTGGAGGGTCCTCTGGGCTCTACCGAGCCGGAGCGGCTCTTTTTCAGCATCTCTTCGGAGGCTGCTTCGGAATTACGCCTCCTCCTTCTCCCGCTGCCGCTGCCTCCCTTCGCATGGGCAAGGCTGGGCCAAGCAGGTGCAAGCCGGGACGGGAAGGAAACGCCGGTGGCTCAGCAGATTTCGGCTCTGCCAGCAGCTGGAGGAGGAGGAGGAGGAGGAGGGAGCGCCCGAGCCTGAGCTTGGGGGGGGGGGGGGGGGGGGGCGCTGCCACGCAGGGTCGGGATCGGGGCGAGCAGCACAGCCCAATTCGCCTCCAAACGGGATGCGGGGAACGCCCGAGCCTGGCTGCAGGTGGGTGGCGGCGGGGGCAGGGCACAGGGAGGGGGTCCCGGCTGCCAGGTGGGATACGATCATGGGGAACAAAAGGGGGAGGGGGTGCTCCCCCCTCCCCATTTCCTCCAAGCCCCTCCCCCATTTCCATCCGACTTCTATCTTCTACTCCCCTCCTCCCAATATAATTGGAAATAGGGGACGGGGTGGAAGAGAAGAAGCCCACCCCCCTCTTTGAAATTGGGGGGGGGGTCTTTATAGTCAAACCCCTGCCAGCCTGGCTGTTCACTTCACACACACACACACCCACCAAGGAAACGAGACTCTCCTTCCTGGGTTGGAGTGGCTGGGGGGGGGGGGTTTGCGTTTCCCCACCCGCCCACCTTCCCCAATGTGGCCAGGGGTCCTCCCAGATCCAGCTGGGGGGTGGGTGGGCAAGTCAACAATGCAAAACCCCCCCCCACCCCCACACACACACTGCCTCTTTCCAAACATTGCAGCAAAATCCTTGTCCTCTGGCCAGGCCCTGCTTTTCCTCAAAACTAAACCACCACCACCCCCAAAAAATTGGGGTGATTATATAGGGGTTTCTCTTATGTATACAGGAGCTGGCAGGCCGTTTTTGCATGCCAATGCCATAAGCAAAGAGTGCGGGTTTTTTTTTTTTTTTTTGTGGGTGCATGTTAATAATGCTCCATGTGTGGAGCTTTTGCCAACAAGTCCCCAATATGGGCAGAAGGAAAGGAGAAAGGGACGAATTATATGTTAAGGAACGGGGGTGGTGGTGGAAAACACCTCCCCACCTTCTCCACACACCCCCTCCCCGTGGGTTTGAATCATCTTTAAGCCACAGAGCATCAAACATGTAATCAGACGGCTGGAAGAGGCTACCGAAGTGCTTCTCCACCCCTGCAGTAGAAGATGCAGGGTGAGCTTGCAAAAAAAAAAAAAAAAATACCCCCTCCCCCCCCCCACCCTCAACCCTGACTTAGCCAGCATTTACTCCGCAGTCCTTCTGAATGGGCCTGGACTAAAAAGCCCAGAGAGAGAGAGAGAGAGAGAGAGAGAGAGATCGTTACGAATGTTTGTGGTTATAAAACGTTGGCGCTGGATTCATTCTAGCTGTATCGCTTCGGTGCCTGACTCAGAACATAGAATAACAGTGTTTGGCAAGGGGCCTCCAAGGTCTTCTAGTCCAACCCCTGCTCAAGCAGGAGACCCCCCCCTCCCCAAACCGTTCTGGATAAGTGGCTGTCCAGTTTCTTCTTGAAAACCTCCGGCGACTTCAAGTGGACATTTCCTTCCCCCTCCTCTCACAACGATTTCTTTAAAATGATGATGATAATAATAATAATTGGCACAGGGCAAGGAGTGGGAAGGTCTTGGCCAACACACTTCAATAGTTCAGATCACGTTTTGCAAGTATTCTGAGCCATTCCGCTTCTCGTTGCTTCTGATTTCCGCCTGTTGGTAGCGCACACTTTTCTTTGTGGCTTTTGCAAGGTCAGAGAGAGGGATTTGGGGCTGGGGGTTTTCTTCCTCTTATTATTTGGCGAATGTGACGGCAGGTAAAATAGTAATAAGTTTTTTAAAAAAAAACTTCTTGAAATTCCGGAAGATTTTCCTTGGTGAATCCATGGAGACCAGTCAACATTGTTTTTCAGGTCAGGCAAGGCTAAAACTTTTGGATCCCATTTGAACCTGGAGAAAACTTGACTCTTGCCTTGTGGATTTCAAAAGTTTCTGTCTGGGTGATGAATTTAGGGCTCGTTGTATACAGGGAGGAAAAACGGGCAGCTGAATGAATTCAAAAAAAGTTTAGCTCTGCTAAAAGGGTTAGGAGGTTGTGTGAACACAGCTGGATAGTAGCACGGTGATCCAGAAGACGGGCTGAGAGAAGGAAGGGAGGGAAATGCAGTTTTTGCTGCTTGCCATTTTTAAAAGATAATGCATCGGTAAAGCATTTCTAAAAGGGGAAACCGGCCTTCCTCGCAATCAACATGCAGAAAATCCAGTTTCAAAGCAGCAGTTAAAGAGTCATAGGTACGAAGAGAGGCAAACTGGGAGAGGAGAGAATATTTTAAAATTAGTTTCCAGCGGAGAAGAACTTCAGCTGGATCCGTTTGTCTCTGTGGGGAGACACCAGATGTTATTGTGCTTTCGGAGTCGGTAGCAGTGAGGTTGGGGTTGTAGTAGAGGGCATAATTTTCTGCTTAGCCAAGTAGGGAGGTTTTATGAAAAGGGCCCACGGGGTAAGATTGCCCAAGAGTGAAACGCCGCCTGAAGGCGTGATGGGAAGGCCTCAGCCATCTAATCTGGAGAGGAGGGCACGGCCGGGCCCGTGTCAAAAGCAATCCTGCAAGAAAAAAATAATAATAATCAGCTGAAAACCAGTCGCCTGGTTAGCATATGCAAAGGAAGGAAGCAAGGAAGGATCACAACCCCTGAACATATTCCTGAAGGGAGCAGCAGAAATGAGGACGTGGCTACGGATTAGGTCCTGAGGTGGCCTAAGTGAGCAGGTGAGAGAGAGAGAGGGAGGGAGAGAGAGAGAGAGAGAGAGAGAGATTCAAAACTCACTAGAGATGGTTGGAAACCGTAGAGGTGGGAGGGTAGGTGTTAGATGAAAAAAGAAAGCCTGGGATGAGGAAAACCATCTTGATGTTCCTCTTTCGGGAGGAGGGAAGGAAACGATTTCTAACTGCCCTCCTCAAGCTTGGGTTCTCCCAAAAGTGCATTTTCTGGCTTGGTTTTCCCTTGAAGACGTTTCGCTTCTCATCCAAGAAGCTTCTTTAGTTCTTCAGAAGACAACTGGACTTTGTTCTTCCTTGGAGATGTTTCACTTCTCATCCAAGAAGCTTCTTCAGTTCTCATCCCAGAAGAAGCTTCTTCAGTCAGAACTGAAGAAGCTTCTTGGATGAGAAGTGAAACATCTTCAAAGAAAAGTACAGTTGCCTTTTGGGGGGGGGAAAGAGCATTTTGGGGGCCAACCATGACCTGGATGACTTGAGAACCTTCATCAAGTTGGGATTGGCAGCAAAAGAGGACACATTTCCCCCAAACGTTTGGTTTTAGAACGTCCTGGGTCAAAGAATCTTTATTTCTTTATTTATCCGTAACATTGGCCTGGAAACTTTTGTGGTGAGATGTGAAGCCAAGGAGGTCAGAAGGCCCTTTTGGATAGGCGAATATTTTCTCTCTCTAGATTCCAGCAGACGTAGGCTGAAGTCTGTAATCTCTTTTGGAGGTTTGCAAATCCTTCTCCCCTTTGCTCCAAAATTCCTCCCGGGCAAAATCTTTTTAATTTTTTATTTTTTAGGGTGGGTGGCACACAATTTTAGCTGGCGTCTTCCTACCTTTGCAATCAGGACTTTTGTGCGTGCTTCTGGGTCCTATCTCCGCAACGGGTTGCAAGACAGAACGAGGCGAGGAAGGTGCCCCAAAACATTAAGGAACCTTTCTCAGGACCATGGAAAGCTGGATTGCAAAGCCCAAAGTGACTTTATCCAAAAAGAGGGACTTCCAGGCCAATTGCTATAAATGTGACTTTTTCTAGCGGCATCTAAAGAGCTGTGATACTCAATTAGTTTCTAGCACCCCTTCGCTTTTCTTTAAAATGTTTTCATCCTGTAAAGAACTTTTGACTTCCCTGTAAGGGCATGTGAGTTATAAGCCTGGATAGGGTGAATTTTTTTTCCAACTTCGGGTTAAATTCTGCATTTTTCCTGCTTATACCTATGTGTGGGTGTGGGTATATGCGTAATGGTTATCTTTTGAGAGCTGAATGCAACAAAATTTCATTTTAATGTATACTGATTAGTGTACATTTAAAGTGACAATATAGCTGTATTCTGTTCTGTTCTGTTCTGTTTTGTTCATTCCACTCTATTCTTGTAATCTCTTCTCTTCCCTTCCCTTCCCTTCCATTCTATAGTCTATTTTGATGTCTCTTCTACTCTCTTCTACTCTACTTATACTTATTTATTTATTTATTTATTTATTTGATTTGCCAATTGTTTACAAGATAATAAGTATAAATGTATACATAGTTGTGAATACATGAAATGGTTACATATAAGAAAAATAAAAGAATAAGAGAAACAATAGGACAGGGACGGTAGGCACGTTGGTGCGCTTATGCACGCCCCCTACAGACCTCTTAGGAAAGGGGTGAGGTCAATAGTAGACAGTCTAAGGTTAAAGTTTTTGGGGTTTGGGGAAGAAACTACAGAGTCGGGTAGAGTATTCCAGACATTGACCACTCTATTGCTGAAGTCGTATTTCCTGCAATCAAGTTTGGTGCGGTTTACTTTGAGTTTGTATCTATTGTGTGCTCTTGTGTTGTTATGGTTGAAGCTGAAGTATTCATTGACAGGTAGGACATTGCAATGTATGATTTTGTATACCATGCTTAAGTCAGACCGAAGACGGCGTAATTCAAGGTTTTCTAGTTTTAGAATTTCAAGTCTGGTGGCATAAGGTATTCTACAGCGAGTAGAGGAGTGGAGAACTCTTCTTGTGAAATATTTCTGGACTTTCTCAATTGTGCAAATATCAGATACGTAGTGTGGGTTCCAGACTTACTCTATTCTATTCTATTCTATTCTATTCTTGTTCTAGTCTATTCCAATTTCTATTCCAATTTCTATTTTATTCTATATTCTATTTTGATGTTTCTTCTATACTTACTCTATTCTATTCTTGTTCTATTCTATTCCAATTTCTATTCTATTCTAGTTTCTATTCTATTCCAAGTTCTTTTCTTTTCTATTCTATACTATTATTTACCTTTTGGAATTAAACCTCCTCACCTACCTGCCCTTTTTGCAAACCACCTGAAGACTCATTATTTGAAAATTTCCGCTCTAGGAACAGAAAGTTGGCTTCCAGCAGCAGTATTTCTTCTGGAAGGTGCTGGAAAGCATTCGATTTGATTTACAGTCCAATGAACTGCAAATAAATGCAGTGAAATGTTTTTTTTTTATTCCGGTCTTAACTTAATTCCAATAGTTTAACTCAGTAGTTTTAGTCGTTAATAGTTTTAGTTAAACTATAATAGCTTAACTTAACAGTTTTAAGTTAAAGTCTTTAATTTCATAGCCAGTTTCTTCTGCTGTCTGTGCATTTTAAAATTTCCTGGCTGACCTGAAGTCTCAATAACTTCCAACTTGCTGGATTTGGTGTTAATGTTCAGCTGGGAAAGGTAGAATTGTGTGCTGAGTCTGCTTTATTTAAAATAAAATTCTTTTGGCCTTGACTAAGTAAATAATAGACGTGTGAGTATCTGCTGTTCAGAAAATTGAACTGAAGCCAGCTTGGGAGCAAAGGTTTTACCAGTGCTATTTTCTGAAGCTCCTGAGATTAGAGAGATTGATTTGAATCAATCTTTATTACGGTCATAACCAGCATAAAGATTGGAGATAAAAGTAGCTATTTCAGAGATGAGCAACCAAGGGAAAACTCAAGAGGGATCTTATCTTGCATAGAATCTCCCCTCATCAAAGAAGACTGGAGTTGCAATAATTAAAATATTGTAATTATTGTAATAGCAGCAACTGTGTCCTGGAATGCCTTTGGACTTTGGGCCTAACTCTTTGGACTTTTTTTAACTCTTGTTTTTAATCAGGTGATGATCCGAACAGCGTTCTCTCTATTTGGAGAAAGGGAAGGGAAGAAAGAAGCGAAGGAAAACTTTCAATAATCGGAAGATTAACTAAGATCAGGAAGCTGCATTTCTCACAGTACGTTGGATCCAATTAAATACACTTTTTTTCTTCTTCTTCCCAAAATTAATTTAAGGCACAAATGTAGCAAAGAGAGATGAATTCGTCCAACTTAAAGAAATATTTGCGCAGGATTTATTCTCTCTGCATCTCTTTGGTGCCTTACTTAGAACATAGAATAGCAGGGTTTGGAAAAGGGGCCTCTGAGGTCCACTAGTCCACCCCCACTGCTCAAACAGGAGATCTCAAACCACTCCAGATAAACAGCTGTCTAGTTTCTTCTTGAAAACCTCCGGCGACTTCAAATGGGATTTTTATTTTCCTGTTGTTGTTGTTTTTCCCCCTTCCTTTTTCTTTCAGGCCAATATGATGCGTTGGGTGACCCTCCTTTTATTCTCGGTCATTTTCCGCCTGTTTTTTGACCTGCCCTGGGTTCAAATCGTGCCAGCCCTTTTCATATTCTACTTGGGCTCCGGTGGATGGAAGTTCCTCCGTATTTTCGCCAAGACCATCAAACGAGATGCCACGTAAGTCACAGCATTTCTTCCTTCCTTTCCCTTTGGGATACAGGTAGATCCCAAAAATTTCTGTGGCTAAGGGAAGCAGTTAAGGGAGCTTTGCCCCGTTCTATGACCTTCCTTGCCACCATTGTTAAACGAAATCCCTGCCGTTGTTCAGCTAGTCCCGCGCTTGTTGGCTTTGCTGTAGACTTTGCTTGCCAGAAGGTTGCCAAAAAAGGATCGTGTGACCTATAACCGTTATAAATACGAGAGGCTGAATTTTGGACCATGTGACCACGTTGGGGTTGCCGCAGCAGTCGTAAGTGTGAAAAACGGTCATAAGTCACTTTTTTCCGGTGCCGTTCTAACTTGGAATGGTCACTAAATGAACTGTTATAAGTCAAGGACTATCTGTAAGCCAAACTTTTTTTTTCACGGCATTCTTTCTGTGCCGTAAAATGAACTTGTTCGATAACCAGGTTAAAGCAAAAAACGAGCTTGTTCGATAACCAGGTTAAAGCAAAAATTAGCTTGTTTGATAGCCAGGTTAAAGCAAAAAATGAGCTTATTGATAAGTAGGTTAAAGCAAAAAATGAGCTTGTTTGATAGCCAGGTTAAAGCAAAAAATTAGCTTGTTCGATAACCAGATTAGAGCAAAAAATGAGCTTGTTCGATAACCAGGTTAAAGCAAAAATTAGCTTGTTCAATAACCAGGTTAAAGCAAAAAATGAGCCTGTTCGATAACCAGATTAAAGCAAAAAATGAGCTTGTTCAAGAATCAGGTTAAAGCAAAAATTAGCTTGTTCGATAACCAGATTAGAGCAAAAAATGAGCTTGTTCGATAACCAGGTTAAAGCAAAAATTAGCTTGTTCAATAACCAGGTTAAAGCAAAAAACAAGCTTGTTCGATAACCAGATTAGAGCAAAAAATGAGCTTGTTCAAGAATCAGGTTAAAGCAAAAATTACCTTGTTTGATAACCAGGTTAAACAAAAAATTAGCTTGTTCGATAACTGGGTTAAAGCAAAAAATGAGCTTGTTCGATAACCAGGTTAAAACAAAAATAACCCTAACCCTATTAGGGGTTAGCAAATTGGCACAAAGTGACAAAAAATAATAGTCATAACAATCTTGATTTAACTTTGAAAAAGAAACCAGGCTGCTAAACTTTGGGACATTCCTTTCCCTTGTTTGGTCCCATTTTTCATTTTATTTCTGTCTTTCCAACTGGGTGCTGGAAAAGAGCAAAGAAGAGAAAAATGCTCTTTATTTTTGCACCCTCGTAAACCTTCAGCACGGTGTCCTGCTTGCTGTTCAGGGGTTATTTTCTTTATTGATTAACTCTCCCTCTGCAAAGGGAACACTCGGATTTGGGAGGGGAAAATATATGCAAAGTGGAAAAGGCATGAAAAGGAAAAAACAGAAGGCTGATTCGGGAAACGCCGGCAGATTGCATCAGTCCCACTGTGGGCCGCCGGTGCGTCGAACGCCTTCACAGTTTCAGGAGTGTCTTAATCAGTTAGCAAAGCATGTCAGAAAAGGCGGCCAACCTGATTTCATGAGGGAGGGAGTTCCACGGGCTCGCAGATACGAACCTTTCCTCTCTGCCCGACATGCAAGGTAGACTTGGCAGAAAACGGAAGGTGGGACTGAGAGGCCAAAAGAACCGACGGCTTCATTTGTCGCGGCTAAACAATTTACTTATTTTTTAAAATGTGGCTCATGATTCGTTCTCGAGACAGCTACCAAATCTTCCCGGAAGACCTGTGTTATGTCCCTTCCAGGAATTAAAGTCCCCCTTCCCTGGCCATTTTTCTCCCCGACGTGCCAGATTGCCACCACAACCCTCTTAAAGCCGATGATGCCAAGGCGTCGCGTCCTTCTGGCCCGACCAGTTTTTCCAGCAAATCAAAAAAAAAGAAGAAGAAGAAGAAGAAGAATAAAAGCCAAGAATTTGCAACGCTTGCAGAGGTTGAACCCTGGGAACCGGCAGACGCCGCAAAAGGCATGCTGACTCTTGTTGGGCGGACGCCAGGGGAGGCCGACAGCCGCAATCAAAATTGTGTAGGCCGGGCAGGGTTTGTGCAGGGCGTTTTTAACTCCATCAAGCAGCTGAAGGTTGCGTTCGCCACGGCTCCTCCTCCGCAGAGGCTGCCTCACCCGCTTTGGACATGGAACCAGACGTCTGGGTTTCTGTATATGTGTCTGTGTGCGATTGTGCAGCGCGGCTGCACAGTTGCTAAGCTGTGGTTGGAGGTGCATGTCTGGCGGGGGTTGGCGATGAGTGACTTCCTCTGCAGAGTTTCCAGCATCCGGAGACAATCTCGTCCAAAGTTGATAATAAAGCGTTGCATTCACTGAACCCTAAAAAGGCTGGAGGGGGGGGGGGGGCTCCTTTGAGGCTGTCTAGACTCACCCCCTGGCTAAGGCAAGAAATCCAGAATGAGACTCTTTCTGGCCCAGGTCCTGTTGAAAGTCCTTGACCCTTCCTTCATTTCGAGATAGGGTTTAATCTAAATCTGTCTTTCGGTAACTGACATTTCATGACCCAACTAAGGGGCAGCATCAGTGCTAGAAAGGGAAGAAGTTTTGGGGGAAGGGGGGGAGGAGGAGGAGGAGGAGGAGAATGATTGTGGAACCTTGCTGCTGTCTGAGCTTGGCTGTTTTCTTGCAGATGTTTCATGACCCAACTAAGTGGTATCGTCAGTGCTAGAAGGGAATGAGATTTGGGGAGAAGGGGAGGAGGAGAGGGATTACGGTAGGGTCCTTGGTGGTCTCTTAGTTTGCAGACATTTCATGACCCAGCTAAATAACATCATTCATGCTCGATGGGAGGAGGAGGAGGAGGACAATGACTGTGGGGTCCTTGGTGCTCCCTGACCTGGATGGCTTTCTTGTTTCATGACCCAGCTAGGTAACATCACCAGCGCTAGTGAGTGTGGAGTTTCCTCCGTGTTTATATACAGCAGCCTGCCCTGCCGGTATTAGTTGGCCATGTAGTTTTCCCCTCAGCCGTTCTCTGATTAGGGAATTGTTTTCTGTTTGGTTGTTTGCCTGGGGTTCGTCCCTGCTTATCTGGGTGTTGGTTGCCAGGGAGGCGGGAGGTGTTTCTATTCTTTTAGATTCCTTCTTAGTTTAGGCCGGTTATCGAGTTGCTAATTATCTAGCTGGGTAGTGAAATTATCTAGCTGGGTAGTGAAACAAGCAGATATCCCAACTCAGAGAGCTCCAAGGACTCTTCCGTCCAACCCTGAGCTACAGAGATGGATTCCCTTATATATTGAAAAAAACAAAACAAAAAAAAACCCTTCTTCTTCCACCACCAACTACGAAGGACGGGCTGAAAAGACTCCGTGCCATCTCTGTCCCTCCCACCTGATAAAGACTAGAAAACATCCCTTCCTCTTCTCATGATGGGCAGAAGGATTAATCTTGAAAAAAGAGCCACAACCAAGGCAAAAGAAGAGAAATCTGAGTTCAGGCCAGAACTGTCAACTGAAAAAGCATCTCAGACTTAAAACTCACCATGTTTTGACAACATTTTCTTACTGTAATTGCATAACAATAGCAATAGCTATAGCACTTAGACTTATATACCGCTTTACAGTGCTTTTACAGCCCTCTCTAAGCGGTTTACACAGCCTCTGGCCCCCAACAATCTGGCTCCTCATTTGACCCACCTGGGAAGGATGAGGAGGCTGAGTCGACCTGGGGCCTGGTGAGATTCGAACTGCCAAATTGCAGGCAGCCAGCAGTCAGCAGAAGGAGCCTGCAGTCCTGCACTCTAACCACTGCTTCACTGCAGCGCATTAAAGTTGCATTGGCATGCAGGTGTCTCGAGTCTACCTTGACGCTTGTCCCAAAGGTGCTTCTTGAAAAGGCAACTGAGATTTCTTGGCTTTTCCGGGAAGACGTTTTTGCTTCTCATCCAAGTAGCTTAATGAAGAACTGAAGAAGCTTCTGGGATGAGAAGCGAAATGTCTTCCAAGAAAAACCAGTCCAATTTGCCTTCTAAAGAACTGAAGAAGCTTCTGGGATGAGAAGCGAAACCTCTTCAAGGAAAAACCAAGTCCTTTTCAAAAAGCACTTTTGGGACAACCATGACCTGGATGACTGAGAATCTCCATAGAGGTTTACCTTGACGCTTCTGCACCTTGTCCTGTTCTTGGTAGGACCGCCAGGACCGTCCTGTCAACCCGCCTGAAGATCTGGTGGTACGTGAAACACCGCACCACCATCCCCAAGATCTTCCAGCAGACGGTGCAGAGACATCCGGAGAAGGTCGCCCTCATCTTCCAAGGCACGGGAGAAACGTGGACCTTCCGTCAGCTGGATGACTACTCCAACCAGGTGGCCAACTTCTTCTACGAGCAGGGCTTCCGCTCGGGGGATGCTATTGCCCTCTTCATGGAGTCCTGCAACCAGTACGTTGGCCTGTGGCTCGGACTGGCCAAGATCGGGGTGGAGGCGGCTCTCCTAAACTCCAACGTGCGGCAGGAATCCTTGGTCCACTGCATCAAAATCTCCCATGCCAAGGCGGTCATATTTGGAAGTGAGCTGGCCGAAGGTAAGGTGACCACAGGGTGGGGAAGAGGGAAAAAAAGGAGAGACCAGAGGCTGGATTGGTCCTTGAATGGTCAACCAGAGTTGGTTGACTCTTTTCTTGTAGAGAAAAGTAAAGTCTTACATTTAGGCAAAAATAATCAAAAGTACACATACAGATTAGGAGAAACCTTTTATGTTGTACAGGTCACCTTCAAGAAGCGAGGGGAGCCGAATGTCAACTCATAAAACATTTTTATGGCCATTTTATAGTTCCCAACAGAAAGGGAGGGGGGAAAGCAATGGTGGGATTCAATTTTTTTTACTAATGGTTCTGTGGGCTTGGTGGGCGCGGCAGGGGAAGGATACTGTAAAATCTCCAGTCAGAGGTGTTTTTTGCCAGTTTTCTGAACTACTCAAAATTTCCGCTACCGGTTCTCCAGAACCGCTCAGAACCTGCTGAATACCATCTCTGGGGGAAAGCGATTTGAAAGATCAGTGCGGCAGCTGGGAATCGGAAGTGCATTCCATGTATAGTTTTTCAGAGGTTGTAACTAGGTGACTGAAGTTTCTGCCACGCAAAAATCTAACTGGAGAGCATGATCGATGACTCTTGGCTATGGATGTGTCCCATTGGAGAATATGAATTATGATACACCCAGAGGGGTTGGGGGGAAAACCAGGGTCAAGGGTGACAATGAATGATGTGTCTCAGAGTCGGCTACACCCAGGCAATGCCGGAGATGTTAACTCCCAATAAATCCTTTTGAAGTTTTGGAAGTTTGGCTCGAGACTCATGATTTAATTGGGGTAACTGCTGGAATCCTGACAGCAGGCTTAATAGCAGTAACTGTGAGAGGGATCTTGGAGTCGTAGTGGACAACCAGCTAAGTATGAGCCAACAGTGTGCAGCGGCAGCCAAAAAAGCCAATGCAATCCTAAATTGCATTAACAGAGGGATATAATCAAGATCAAGGGAGGTACTAATACCACTCTATAAAGCCTTGGTAAGATCACACCTAGAGTACTGCATCCAGAAGAGAAGGACCAGGGGAGACAGGATAGCAGTCTTCCAATATTTGAGGGGCTGCTACAGAGAAGAGGAAGGGGTCAGGCTGTTTTCCAAAGCCCCCGAAGGCCAGGCAAGGAATAATGGATGGAAACCGATCTAGGAGAGATTCAACCTGGAAATAAGGATAAATTTTCTGACAGTGAGAACAACCAACCCATGGGACAGAAGTTGCCTTCAGGACTTGTGGGAGCTTCATCACTGGAGGCTTTCAAGAAGAGACTGGACTGCCACCTGTCAGAAATGGTGTAGGTCTCCTGCTTGGGCGGGGGGTTGGACTAGATGACCTATAAGGTCCCTTCCAACTCTGTTATTTGGTCATCTTTTACGAGGATTCAGCCATGGTTGTTTTTATAACCTGGGCCTCCTGAAGGAGCCCCAGTGATGGTGATTTGCCCAAAGCTCTGGTTTGTTTTATGCGGAGTCTGTTTCCTTAACTAGGATGACTGCGATCATCAAGACGTGATGCAATCATTTGAAGGTGCAAGGGTTGTTTGCCATCCACAATGGCTCAGCTCCTGGGGATGCTTGGGGCCAGCTGCTCCTCCTCCCCCCCAGCCTACCTCACAGGGTCGCTGTTAGAAGAAGAAACCTCCCAAGATGCCCCACGAGCTCCCAAACGTAGCCAGACAAACTGACCACAATTCTCTTTTTTTGTCTCTTCTCCTAGCCTTGAGGGAAATCCAGCCCTGCTTGGAGAAATCCATCCGTCTCTTCTGCTCTGGCGATCGGCAGGCCGTCAACTCCCTGCCTGGGGTGGAAGATCTTGACCCTCTGGTTGAGAAGGCCCAGCGCCAGCCGCCCAATCCACCGGACAAGGGATTCCTAGGTATGGTCTCTGGGCCCACCTCCCAGAAGTGGCTCTATCCACACTGGCACCCTTCAGCCTGGAATTCAGGGGGAGGGGAGATTGTTGTCCCATGCAGCCCTCCCTCCCTAAAGGAGGGTGAAGGTGGGAGCCATGAAGAGCCAATATCCTGCTCAGCCTGCAGACAAAAATAGCCATAGCCATAGCCCTTAGACTCATGCGCCGCTTCACAGTGCTTCACAGCCCTCTCTAAGCGGTTTACAGAGTCAGCCTATTTGCCCCCCAACCATCTGGTTCCACATTTTACCCACCTTGGAGGGATGAAAGGATGAGTCAACCTTGAGCCAATCAGGATCGAACTGCTGGCAGTGGACAGAGTTAGACAGCAATACCGCATTCTAACCATGGTACTACCACGGCTCTTAGATAAATATAGGATGGCTTGGAGGGATGGATAGATAGATAATAGATGGATCGCTAGCTAGATGATAGCTAGTTAGCTAGATAGGTGATAGGTTTTTACCCACCTCGGAGGGATGGAAGGCTGAGTCAACCTTGAACCCGGTGAGATTCGAACTGCCAAATTGCAGGCAGCTGGCAGTCGGCAGAAATGTCCTGCAGTACTACACTCAACCACTGCACCACCGAGGCTCAGGAAAGGGAAAGGCTGGGACAATGGAGAGTTGGTGCTCCAGAGATAGTTCTGGTTGCAAAAGGCAGATTTCTGAAAAACTCCTTGTCCTTTGCAAATCCCTGAAAATCTCAGAAGTTCTCCATGTTCTTTTAATCTCCTGAGGTTCTTCATGTTTTCCTTGTAAACTGAAGTTCTTCTTGTTCTTTGAAACTCCCAAAGTTCTCCATGTTCTTAGCAAACTCCCGAAAGTTCTCCATGTTCTTTTAATCTCCTGAAATTCT